GGTTGTTAAATTTAGAAATTTTCAATTTTCTAATTTTTTAAGTTGAAATTGTCAAATTTACGTAATTTTTGTTAGTTACGTAATTTGTCAATATTTGTCTAATTTTCAAATTTCTACTTATCTAATTTTCTAAGTTTTCAATTTGTCAAATTTCTAATTTTCTAGTTTTGTCAATTATGAAATTTCTACCTCATCTTCTAAATTTTCAATTTTCTAGTTTTCTTAATTTGTACATTGTCATATTTGCAAATTTCCAATTTCTGAATTTTTCCAAGTCCCAAGTTATCATATTTACAATTTTCCATTTTCTATTTTTTTCAATTCTCAAATTTCCAATTGTTATTTAAAAAATTTTTAAATTATCAAATGTTCAATTATCTCAGTTTCCAAAGTTTCAATTTACAAAATTTTCAATTTCGTGATTTTCCAACTTTTACAAATTTTCTTAATGTTTCCATTCATCCAATTTTCATAATATTCTTAATTTTCCTAATTTTCCGATCTTTCTTAATGTTCCAAGTTTTCCAAATTTTGCAAATGTACAAACTTTGAAATATCTATAATAGTAAATATAAATGAACATAAATATTTATAATATAATAAATATTATAGGAAATTACAACGTAAAATAAGAGAACAGGGGATAATAGATATGTAGGTAGCTTAAATTTCAATAATTTCTTCAGCAAGTTATTCGCGTGAAAATTCACAAAATTCCAGACTTTCTTCTCTGCTTATTTTTCATTCATATCATTATCATAATATTTTGATGATCATATGTTTTCCGTTTCAGTGTTTTCATACGATGAGACGAATTTCATACAGATTTATTTAACTTTCCTCGTTATTGTTGATACTCTTTAAATCATATATTCATGTTTTCTCATGATATGCACTTATACCATTAATCCTAACGTAGCGTGACTGATTTTTATTTAGACAAATGCAGGTACATTTTAACACAACTTAGAAATTTATGAATTCGGAAATTTGTTAAGGAACAAAGTCGAAAATATACAAGATTAAATATTTTTTATAAACAAACTTTACAGGTTTACATATTTTCTAATTTATGTGTTTGTAAACGTGGAATTTCATAAATTTTTCTTTCATTTTATACAAATATAGATATTTTTAAATTTTCATCCTACAAATTTTATAATTTCTACTTTTTAAATTAAAAATTTATTTAGTCTAAAGTATTTAAATTTAGAAAGTTTAAATGTTGCAAAAATACTAGTTAATGTTATTGTTTGAGAGCAGCCATTTTGAACAATTTGGAGCCATTTTGTTTTAAGATAGCTAACATAACCTCAACTTAACGTCCCTTCATTTTATCTATTGAATTATATAGCAACAGAATAGTACTTTATACACACCCTAAAAAACACTTCAATAACATAACTGTACAAATAAATAGGAGAAGGATAAAAATAATATTTTTTATATTTGCTTTATTAATCCCCTTTTAAAGGCATAGAAATCAGAATTATAAGTATACTTATCAGCCTATAAATTGACTCAAAAACTTCTCCGTGATAAGTAGTCAAACTATATAATTTTTTCACAATTCTAACCCATCAGGAAAGTGACAATTTTGTAGAGAATTGAACAGAAATATTTGTTCTAACGGAGAGTAGGATTTTTATTAAAAGAAATGATAGAAAGAACACTTAAATAGACATGTTGGAGAATTGACGGTACATGTTTCGATTACAAAGGACATCATAGTACTGGCTACTAATTCAGCCACATAGCATTGGTTGACGATCAAAACAAAGGATGCACTATAATACAATGCACTGTCTATACAGTACAATTCCTAGCCATCGAACCACTATAAATTTTCAGAATTGTTCCCGTTTTCCGTAAAAGGCCAAATTGTAATTATATAATTTATTAGCTACCATGATACTGTATATAACATTAACACGTGTTAATATCTTGTATTTCCTTTGCTTTGGTTACAGCCGCATGCCCCGTATGCATTGATCACATACTTTAAATCTTCATTATTTTCCCAAATATCTGTAATTCTTTTCAACTCAGATAATGTGATTGGAGAGTTGTAAACTGGTCTTTGATTAGGCAGACATTTTCTGTGGCATTCAAATTTCACCTCTAGCGCTATCGATATTCCTAACGTAAACGCACGACCCGTAATCGCTCTTCACACAATTTATTATCACGATAGCAAATTACTATGTATCGTTATCAATTTAGCAATAATTTTGCGTGAACTAAGATTTTTCATATATGACATAATTATAGACATAAAAGTAAAATTTTCATTAGACTGTACATTAGAAGAGCATTAGTACTGTTCCGCTATTTGTCATTTAATACACAAAAATGTGACATGCTTGAAAGCAAATGATGACTAGGAATACCTACAATTGTAATTGTAGGTTCGTATAATTAATTCATTTACATATTACGTAATGTTCAATAGCATTATTACTGACATTTTTATGATAAAGAGCAAACACAATTCTATTGCAATTGTGAAATCACGATAACCTGATTATTATAATTAAATCACGATAATTATGATAACTTATTCCACTTTTTACTGGCAGTAATTAATTTCTGTCCTACACAGTAACTAAGTTAATTCTTGAAGTTAAAGTATAACCATTAGCGTTAATTAGAAAATAAATTACACAAGAAAAGCATCTATCAAAAAATAAAGAAGAAATATCTAAATAAAATTAAATTTGGTATATTATCAGAGACTACAATTTTAATTACAGACTCAAATATGTAATGAAGTTTTTAATACTTTTATTTTATTCACTCTTGTTAATTATACTAAATATTTATTTATTGTTAAATTTATTTATTTATTTATTGTTACAGTTCTATTCAATTTATTTTTATTAGTTACATTTATTGTTACATCACAAATTTTTAACTTTCACTAACAAATTTTTACAAATTTTCAGACTTCAACCAATGAAATTTCAGATATGAAGTTTTTGACAAATTATTTAATCATTTACCATTCGTCTAATAAATATTTGTGAGAAATTCAAATTATTATTCTGCATTAATTCGATTCGATAAAATATTTAACGATAATGAAATAAAAAGTGTTTGATTAAAAAAAAAAGTAATTTTATGCTCAATAGAACAATACCAAAATTTTTGTGTTAAATATGAAATTAATAATATTAAACCTAAAATTAAATATAAATTTAATAATATTAAATATAGAAATATAACGATAAGTCAAGAGATTATAGACAATAAAACATTTGTATTTTCAATTGTTTTCGAACTGTGTCACCGATAACATGGTTATCAAGTTTTCAATCGCATGTGCCTGCCTGTGACACCTGTTGTTCAACTCAGTCATTTCAAAAATGGATTCGAACACGAAGCAGAAGAAATATCCGTTTGTTTTTATTTCTGTTTAAGAGATTGTGGTATAAAATAATCGTCGTTTCACGTGAATGCTTATTAAACCGCCCGAAATAAAACGCATTAACTCCTGAAAAATTATTAACAATGTCATAGTGCAAAATTAAATTATAGTGTAAAAGAAAGTGTTAAAATTTTATTTCACATATAATTCTTCTATGATTTTTATTTAACTAAACCTTGCGAACAAACTTTTAAGATATATAAAAAATAATTAACACTGTTTTTAAGCTGTTTTTTTAAAGAAATTTTGCAATGTGTAGTCAAAGAAATATTATAATGGTGAAATACGGTAGAATAATCAATAACAAAATTTTGTATTATTTAATAACAAATCTTTAAATATAAGAATTGTATGTATACACGATTCCAGCAACGTGATAAATCAATGTAAAATATATCAACTTAAGTTTAAATAAAAAAAAAAATGTAAAATATAAATTTCGTAAAATTTTGTTTTTATATTATACTCTTTTTTACGAAAATGGAATGTATAGTGAGCTACGAAAAATATAAAGATAGCAGTTTCAGATATATGTATTTGTATTAACGTTACGTGATGTTTGTGAATTTTATGTCAGTGATGAAATTAAAGACAATTTACTTACCTTAAGATGGTTCTTTATATAAGGTTCTTTATATAGTAATAAGCAAGTAAATAAAAATTTTTTATTATAAATATTGTTTTTTATAAACATGTTTATGGAATGAAGTATAAAAATGCTTGTAGGATTCTCCGAGTTGCAATCGAATTATTGGTGTAACTAGATAGGGACCCTAGGGTTTGGCTTCTTAAAATATTAACCCTTCAATTCAGAAATTTAGAAAATTAAAGTTATAATTTTTCAAATTTTTGTGTTTCAAAATTTCCAAACTTTAATTCTCAAATTCACAAATTTCTAGAATCCAAATGTAGAAATCCTCAATTTACCAATTACCCAAATTTCCAGTCTTTAAATCCCTAATTTCTCAAATCCCTAAATCTCCATTTTTCTAAATCTCTGAATTCCTAAATCCTTTAATCTCTAATTTTTCAGATCTCCAAATCTCCAAATCTGCAATTCTCCAATTCTCTAAATCTCTAAATCCTTCAATTCCTAATTTTTCAAATCCCCAAATCTCCATTTTTTTAAATTTCTAAATTCCTAAATCCTTCAATCCCTAATTTTTCAAATCCCCAAATCTCCAATTTTCTAAATTTCTAAATCCCTAAATTCTTCAATCACTAATTTCTCAAATCCCCAAATCTTTAAATCCTTACCTCGTTCAATCTTTAATTTCTAAATCCCTAAATCTCCAATTTTCTAAATTTCTAAATCCCTAATTTCTCAAATCTCTAAATTTCTAAATCCCTAATTTCTCAAATCTCTAAATCCTTTAATCTTTAATTTCTCAAATCCCCAAATTCCTAAATCTCCAATTCTTCAAATTCCCAAATATCTCTAAACTTCTAACTTCCTAAAACATCAAACTCCCAAATATCTCTAAACTTCCAACTTCCCAAATTCTCAATTCTTAAGTTCGTAAATCTCCCAATATTTCAATTCAACCTTTCAAAGTATCTAAAATCTGTAAATTAATTTTGTAAATTAATGTATATTCTCAAATTCTCAAATTTCCAATGGCAAAATTTCCTAATTCCTAGATTTCCATTCCAAAAGCCAATCATACTTAACACGAAAAATCTGCACCAACGTCACGGGACCTAACCTAACCTAGGGGTACCTAACCTAGCACAGTCCTATAAGTTACACCAATGAAACGAATAGAATCAACTTACAAAAAAAAGAACATCGAATAAAATTTAAATTAAGCAAATAATGCCAAGGCGTATTTATGTCAATTCTCCTACATCTTCAACGGTCCCCCTCGTCGTCACTGAAACCAACATGGCAGCAACAACTTGCTGCCAACTTAAATGGCTCACGGTCCACCCTACTGCCGCTCATCGCGTAAAGTTCACGGAAAATGTATTTCTGTTTACACGTGGTAACATAATTCAGAGCGAAGCCATTAATTATGCTGCATGCTGTGCCCTCGTTTCTGCAAAATACGAAATTTTTAATTGCATTAACACGTATTTTAATGGTTGAACAGCAAGAGTTTGCTGTTTCATCGAAACATCGATGAGATAAATCGGGAAAAAAGTGATTTTCGCTGGAGAGTTTGTTGAAAGGTTAGTGGGAGGATGTTATCTTCGCTGACGAGAGTAAATATTGTATTTTTGTACTTTAGGGAAAGTGTGGCGAAGTAAGCAGAGATTTAAAGCCAGAAAGTCTGAAACCTACTTTAAAACGGGGGAGTGATTGTATGGGGGATTTGCAATGTGGTTGGTGAATTCTTCATTGGGATTTTAGACGAGAGGCTGTTAAGCCCGTAATCTATAATTTTTTAGGCAGTTATGTCATTCACAGCTACCTCATTATTGTTACAATATTAAGGCAACTAAAGAATGTTAAAATGCTTTGCTTTCAGCAATTCTTGTAATTATTGAACCCAACATTTCAGTGAAAATACGAGTCTGGTTTATTATGTTCCAACTGTAGTATGCGTCACGTGACACGTAATTGTAGGACAAGGATTAACAAAAAATTATTAAACAGTACAAATAATATGGAAAACGAAGTTGTTAATTATACAGAGCACGGAGAGTACGGGATACTTATAGAATTGTCCACAAGTTTGACATCCTCCACAATCCACAGACAAAAGTCCATAGAGAATCTATGGAAATCTATTGATATCTCGTTTGAGACACGCAACTGGCATAAAATAATGAAATACTTACTGGCAAAGTTCTACCAACACTCCCTGCGTGAAGTTAGGCGTGTTGACAATATACATCCAATCGCCGGTTACGGTTTGTCCTAACTTTGGATATATGACTCTTCTCTGAAATTGTTATAACGACGTATATAATATTGAAAGAAATGAAATAGACTTTGAAAATAAGCAATCAGTAAAAGTATACGTTAGTATAGTAATCAGTAATTATAAATATAAAATTTGCTACATACATAGGACATACATAGTTGATCCGCTTCATTAACGTTCGACTTGCTTTTGATGAATTCCGACTGAAAATGATTAAAGCAATTATTATATCTTCTGTAACCACTTAAATTTTTACTTGAAACATTTTTGATAATGAATAATTTAGAAAATAATTGCGTGTTTCACTTTCAATGCAAAAGTGTTTACAAGTAGATTTTCGACGCTGAAACTTGATTATCAATCAAATCTTATGAAATGTAACGCAAAACTGACTATTCGATATCACCAAGACAACCTTAGTAAGTTTTAATATAATATTGCATTATAATGCAGGTATCTCTAAAGTCCGACCACATCCTTATATTTCGGAAACGGCTTTAAATATAGAAAAATGTTTCGGACGAAAGTTGTAGGATATCAAGGAACATAAGATGGCAACAATTTGATCTTGGATGGTCTGAAAGTCGATCTTCAGTTTCTTAAATAGAACCCCATTTTTTATTGCATGTAGTCGATTCAAAATACTACCTATGTTTTTTGTGCAAGTCACTCCCAAGATATGAAGCTTCAAAGTTGACATACCGTCGACATTTACATAATCCAAGGTGCACGGCGCGAAGGGTGCACTATCAGATTTACGCCACCTATATGTCAACTTTGAAGCTTCATAGCTTGAGAGTGACTTGCACGAAAAACATAGGTAGTGTTTTACATTAATTATATTTTATATTAAATTATATTAATTTTCAGAGAGCAATTAGAACTTAAGATTCTTGGAACGTGAAAACCGTAAAACTTCTCGAAACATTAAGTTCCGAGTTTCATAAGTACTTTCAGATTCATGATAAGAAGGAATTCTTTTGACATGATTTGACTCAGATGTTAACATGATATCCGCATCGAGATCTTTATTTAATCTTGATCTCGAACATAGACTACTCAATCATGATCACAAACATAGTCATAGATTTCCTCATAATCTCAAACATAGATCTGTACTCAATCATGATGTCAAACATAAATCTATTCTTCTCCTCTTTAAGCAAAATTTTGCCCATATCAAAGTTTTTTCTGGACGCTTTGATGTTTGAATGATTCTCTCGGTTAACTGCATCCACGTTTTGATGAATTTTTTGCGTTCTTCCAGATCAGGCTATTCTGCAGAGACGTGTCACAATGAAGAGCAACCAAGGGAACAGTTGGGTGAACCTGCAGGACAGCGAATGGAACGTAACGAATCTTTTGGACGGGATGGGTTGCGATTATTTCACGGGCACGTACCGCATATTCTCGACCAGTTGGTTCCAGGGTATCATTTACTTCTTCTACAGTGCTATCTTCGTGGTTGCGTTAGCCGGAAACGGTTTGGTCTGCTACGTTGTGTACAGCAGCCCCCGAATGAAGACTGTGACAAACTTCTTCATCGTGAACCTCGCATTTGGGGACATACTGATAGCTCTCTTCTGCGTTCCGCCGAGCTTCATCAGCATTTTGATACTGCAGTATTGGCCGTTTGGCCAGGAATTTTGTCCCACGGTCAGTAGCTTGCAGGTACGTTCAATTTTTCAACTTCTTACTTTATGTTATCAAACACACCTTAACATTAACAAGATTAAAGTCGCTACACTGAAAAGTTAATAACAACGAAAGATTGAAAACTATACTTCTGAAAAGCTTGTACAGCTTGATCTCAACATATTATGAAAAACACCTCTCGAATAATGTTTACAAAAAGCGACTATTGTTTACTGAAAAGTTATTAAGAAACATCAAAATTATAAAGAAAGATCAATATGTACAGATATCAACCCATGAGCTGGCGCGTGAAAGTAAAATAAGCTCTCTAACGCTTCGTTACATTTCGGCAAATAAGAATAATGACAATAACAACTGCAGCAATTCGCACTATCTCTCTGTTTGCCTGTCATTTTTCGCCTAATTATCTCGCGACGTTTGCCTGCCATTTTTCGACTAATAGCGACCACGAGAGCCAACACTACCGCCGAAAATACGTGTGAGCCGTCCATTTTAATATTCCAATTGGATCCGTAGCTCTTCTAAACACCTGGGTCAGCCTCTTCACGCGCCAACTCGTGGGTTGACATCTGTACACTGCAATTTGCCCGGAAATCTGAACTTTGCCATAGGCATAGTGTTTATATTAATTACTCGTTTTAGTATTGAAACGGACATATAGGCACGACTCTTCCCCCTGTGCCCTCCCTATATAATATAATCTAACCTAATCACATTGTTATGTTGGCGCTCTGTTTTTTAGCTCTGAACCCAACAAAACTAGGTTTATTTTGTCGCACATTTTCACAATCTCTTTCTAAACAGAACTAATGCTTGTACGTGAATGTTGGACAGTATACATTATGAAGTGCATTACTCTCAGGTAAAATAGGTTCCTTGGTTTTTATAGGAAGTAATTCGATAATGACAGTAACAACGGAGGTTCTATTTAAGAAATTGAAGATGTTCCTTCAAAGGACCATTGAAGGTCAAATTGTGACCACCACCTTATGTCTCCCTTGATATTTTATAACTGTCTGAAATATTTTTCCATATTATGTCCTATAAGGATTGGACTTTAGATCCTGTGCACACTGACCGTGTCATCGATCTGGTATCTCCGAATTCCTGGATACTTTTCAATCACTGAGTCCACTAAACCCGTCGGATAATTCGGGACATCTTCGCAAAGTAGCTGTCCGTTGCATTGAGGCATGTTCTCAGATCTTGATGCAATCACTTGATCAAGTTGATCGGGAAAAACTATTTCCCTCTGCTTACCGTAGCCTATCTTTCCTAAACAAATTAATGAGTAGAAGCCAAATTTAATTAATCAAAAGCTAAATTTAGGTTCAAACGTGTTTGGTAAGGTGACTATAGATTTTATGTAACTTGAATAGAACTTGTTATCGAGAAAGAAAATAACAAACCACTTGTGTAGTCTGCGTTCATGGAATCCTGGTTGAATCGTGGTCGTCCTATAACAGAGCGTTCTTTCCTGTTGCTGTTGTTGTCGTTAATCGAAATTCGGCCATCGATACTTCGCTTTTCTGTGGCAGTTCGTGGGAGACGTGGAGAGGAGACGACGACATTTATGAAAACCTTGAAACAAAAGAAACAATTTAATTTTACATTTGATTGCAATAGAGGATTCATTTTTTGATTCTGCGTTGCTTAGATATTTAAATTTTCAAGTTTTCTATTTGTCACGTTTCAAATTCTTCAATTTTTCACTTTTTAAGCTTTTAAGTTTTCAAATTTTCTATTTGGCAAAATTCTAAATTTCTAAATTTTTCACTTCATAAATTTTCAAATTTTCAAGTTGTCTGTTTATCAAACTTCTACATTCCTAAATTTTGCATTTCTCAAATTTTCAAATTTCCAAATTTTCCGTTTATCATTTTTCCAAATCCCTAAATTCTTCATTTTTCAATTTTTCAATTTTTCAATTTTTCAATTTTTCAATTTTTCAATTTTTCAATTTTTCAATTTTTCAATTTTTCAATTTTTCAATTTTTCAATTTTTCAATTTTTCAATTTTTCAATTTTTCAATTTTTCAATTTTTCAATTTTTCAATTTTTCAATTTTTCAATTTTTCAATTTTTCAATTTTTCAATTTTTCAATTTTTCAATTTTTCAATTTTTCAATTTTTCAATTTTTCAATTTTTCAATTTTTCAATTTTTCAATTTTTCAATTTTTCAATTTTTCAATTTTTCAATTTTTCAATTTTTCAATTTTTCAATTTTTCAATTTTTCAATTTTTCAATTTTTCAATTTTTCAATTTTTCAATTTTTCAATTTTTCAATTTTTCAATTTTTCAATTTTTCAATTTTTCAATTTTTCAATTTTTCAATTTTTCAATTTTTCAATTTTTCAATTTTTCAATTTTTCAATTTTTCAATTTTTCAATTTTTCAATTTTTCAATTTTTCAATTTTTCAATTTTTCAATTTTTCAATTTTTCAATTTTTCAATTTTTCAATTTTTCAATTTTTCAATTTTTCAATTTTTCAATTTTTCAATTTTTCAATTTTTCAATTTTTCAATTTTTCAATTTTTCAATTTTTCAATTTTTCAATTTTTCAATTTTTCAATTTTTCAATTTTTCAATTTTTCAATTTTTCAATTTTTCAATTTTTCAATTTTTCAATTTTTCAATTTTTCAATTTTTCAATTTTTCAATTTTTCAATTTTTCAATTTTTCAATTTTTCAATTTTTCAATTTTTCAATTTTTCAATTTTTCAATTTTTCAATTTTTCAATTTTTCAATTTTTCAATTTTTCAATTTTTCAATTTTTCAATTTTTCAATTTTTCAAATTTGCAAGTTTGCCAATTGTTCTAAAGTCATCTTCTTGATGGCAATATAACAAGAGTCTATTACAGCCCCATTATTCAAACACGTTCCAAATACACATTTTTACAAAATAACATCACAATAATTCACTTAATCTAGGAAAGTATCTACATATCTCTGTTTCCAATACACGTAAATTCTAAATTACTTCTCATATCTGTAATATTGTGTTTTCATAAATGAAATATTGTAAATAAAATTCAATTAAAACACAATTCGATCAATGACTTGACGTAACAAGGAAAATTAGCAAGAGAGGGGACCCATAAATATTTTTTACTGAAACAATATCTAATCTTAACGACGACCGGTACAAGAAGGTTAAAGTTCTCCGTAATCAAAAGGCTAACTGTTGCTTTGAGAAGTTCAGTCAGTTACGAAGACAGCTAGTACATAGTTAAAGGTTTGGCTACGGTTTTTGTTTCACTGTGAAGAGTTTCGAACGTCATCCTGTAGTTAAACTGTCAAATACGCGAACAAACCTAAACAGCTTTTATTTACATAAACTTTAACTGTAACTGCTAACTATTAACTAGTAACAGGGTAATGTAATAGGGTAATTTTGGATTTTGCTTTGATTTTGGAGATGATGTATGTTTATATGAATTACAGACGTGTGTGTTTAATTTCTATAAGCTTCTATTATATAATTTTTCTGTTATTTAATTTTTACAACATTTATATATTTTTCTATATTTTTCTACATTCCTTTATATTTTCTACATTTTTCTATATTTTTTTACATAATAATATAAAGTTTATATTTTATGATTTTTTACATTTTCTACAATTTCTACAATTCGTACATTTTCCTACATATCTACAATTTTATACTCATTTCAACATTTCAACATTTCTGTTTTCTACATTTTCTATATTTTTAACATTTTCTACATTTTCTACATCTCTATATTTTCTACATTTTCTACATTTTCTATATTTTCTACATTATCTACATTTTCTACATTTCAACATTTCTATATTTTCTACATTTTCTATATTTCAACATTTCTATATTTTCTACATTTTCTGCATTTCCTACATTTTCCACATTTTTTAAGTATTTTTTTTTTCAATTCAACATTTTCCCACAATTTCACATTCGTACAATACTATATTTCTAAATACAAAATAATCTAAGTAAACAATTCTATATTTTTAAATATAAAATTGTTCTAAACAAACAATTCTCTGTTTCCAAATATAAAATTGATCTAAATGTACAATTCTATATTTCTAAATATAAAATTGTTCTAAATAAAGAATTCCATATTTCTGAATATAAAATTGTTTTAAATAAACAATTCTATGTTTCCAAATATAAAATATCTTTATATCTAAACCTTCAAACTTGAAATACCTCAAAGAATTCCATCAAATCAACTCAGAAACCTTATTTGTAAATTTTCACAACACTCACCACAACGACGGTTGCAATCCAAATTGCAGGAGGAACCTTTGCAGCCATTTTGCGCCGACAAAGCAGTGCCCTTCCTTCTACTTCCTTCAACGAACCTTTCAAACAACTGGAAATACTCTTTGTTAATATAACTCTGTTAATGTAATGAAATACTCTTCGATCGAGTAGCAAACCGACTGTTAGTCACGAAAGTGACAGCATGAATAATTTATCCGCGTGAGATTTGATACTTTTTTCATGGTTAATGCTTCCCCTCTTACTGTTATCAACATCCGTCTCATTATTTTGAATCTTGATATTGGAACCCACTTCCCATTCTAAAAGGAAATCTCTTCTATAAATTCATGTAACGTATTTGTAAAAAACTGTGCTATAAATACGATAATTGCGATAATAGATTATCTTTGTTCGTTTAATTATACGAAAGGGATATATTTGTGTTTCATATCGTGATGTACGCGTGGACGTTAATGAAACTTTTTCTTATGCGAGCAAATTCGTGAAACGGTTTAATTAAAAATAAACCACTTCTGCGCAAGACAAACTGCGAGTCGGGTAAAGATGTATTTGGAGAACACTTTGGATTTCCTGTTAAAGAGCACGCTGCGGTTGGGACAGTTACCGCAAAAGAATTAAACAGATTAAGAGCAACGATAACATGTTAGCCTAAGCAGAGTGCAGACGGGAAGTGGACGGATAACTAATTTCAATTAAAACTAATTGCAAATGAAAAATTTCAATTTTAGATATTAATTTTAATATTGATATTAATTTTAAGTTTCATTGAAATTCATATAGATTTACAAAATATAAATATTATTTTAATTTTAAATATAATTTTAGTTTCAATTGTAATTTCAATTTTAATTATAATTAGAATTCATTGAAATTTCAATATGAAATTAATTTTAATTTTAATTTGTAATTTTAATATAAACTTCAAGTTTAATTAAAATTTACTGCAACTACAAAATTGTTATTTTATCTTAAATTTAATTTTTAATTGAATTTTCTGTTTATTCAAAATTCATGACATTTATAAAATTTTGATATTATTTCAATTTTGATTATAATTAGAATTCATTGAAATTTCAATATGAAATTGATTTTAATTTTAATTTATAATTTTAATATAAACTTCAAGTTTAATTTAAATTCATTAGAATCATAAAATTTCTATTTCATGTTAAATTTAATTTTATGAGACATAAAAAGTTTCAACAATATTTTGATTATTATTGAAATTTATTTTGAATTTTATTTTGTAATTTTGATTTTGAATTTCAATTCTGATTAAAACATTTCATTTTAATTTTAACTTGAAGTTCTATTTTAATTTTTATTCTAGGTCTAGTTTTAATTACAATGTCAGATTAAAATATAAGATTAATTTTTTGTAATTCAATTTATTAATGTATCACTTTACGTATGTACATATATACAATTTTTACAAGATTACATGTCACAATTTTTACAATTTTTACCATTACATATCGCATCTCTCTACTGTTTCATCGATTTATTTCATATTTTTCACACTTCTATATCATAAAAAGTATCTAAAAAATCTGTCCTTTTCTAAAAAGCACTATAATACCATGAAATTTACATTTATCTACAGGGTGGTTCATTAACTCCATTACCAAAGCAATTTTCTGACGTTCATATTTTAAAACATTCCAAAATCATTAATATTTTTTTCAACATAACTATACAGAGTGTCTTACAATTAGTGTAGGTCCCGGAAATGGGCGGCAGCTGACGCGATTCTAAATAAGATTTCCCTTTGCAAAAATGGGCTTTGAAGCTCCGTTTTTGAATTATTAAGAAAAAACACGGACTAATCAGAGCGCGAGGATTGCGCGTGCGCAGACGCAAGAGCGGCAGCTTCGGATAACGCGTAGTTATCCAACGCGTGGTAATCCAACGCGTAGTAATATAACGTGTAGTAATGCAACGCGTGGTAATCCTACGCGTAGTAATCCAACGCGTAGTAATACAACGTGTAGTAATCCAGCGTGTGGATATCCAACGCGTAGTAATCCAGCGCGTGCATATTCAACGCGTAGTAATCCAATGCGTAATAATGCAACGCGTGGTAATTCCAAACGTAGGAATCTAATGCGTGGTAATCTAACGCGTACTAATCCAGCGTGTGGATATCCAACGTGTAGTAATCCAGCGCGTGGATATTCAACGGGTAGTAGTTCAACACGTAGTAATGCAACGTGTAGTAATGCAACGTGTGGTAATGCAACGCGTGGTAATCCTACGCGTAGTAATCCAACGCGTAGTAATACAACGTGTAGTAATCCAGCGTGTGGATATCCAACGCGTAGTAATCCAGCGCGTGCATGTTCAATGCGTAGTAATCCAACGCGTAATAATGCAACGCGTAGTAATTCCAAGCGTAGGAATTTGATGCGTGGTAATCTAACGCGTAGTAATCCAGCGTGTGGATATCCAACGCGTAGTAATCCAACGCGTGGATATTCAACGGGTAGTAGTTCAGCGCGTAGTAATGCAACGCGTAGTAGTCCAACGCGTAGTAATGCAACTCGTGGTAATTCTAAGCGTAGAAATCTAACGCGTGGTAATCTAACGCGTAGTAATGCAACGTGTGGTAATGCAACGCGTGGTAATCCTACGCGTAGTAATCCAA